AGGCTGCAGGCACGAAGCAAATCCTTGCGCGGGACCAAGCAGTGTGACTTGCGCACCTGAAACAGATACAAGCGCACGAGTCATGCTCAACGGGACATAAAGCCCAAAGCAACCAGGCTTTTGGTGTAAGACCTGGAAGATCTCGAAGGAGGTCGGTCCAGCTTCTCACGGCCGCTTCCAATTGCCATGTCTTAGCACTTCCTTGCACTTCGGCGACTAATTCTGGAAATCGCAACTGTCACCTGAGACCTGCGACGAAATGGATGTTCCAAGCAGCAGGGTTACAAGTGAGACATTCGTAAGTGCATGCAACATTCTTCATTTTCAGACTCACCCAACTACTCTATGATCTAAATCCGTACAGCGCAAGACGGCCACACCAACAATCAATCTTCCTGTTCATCAGACGCGCCAAGGCTTGGCAATCTGTTCCCTCGTGGGAGATTCGCCCGTTTAGCTGTCAAGCGGAAAAGCTCTACGCGCGAGCTTTGCCATGGCCTTCGAATCGCCGTGGTAGATGCGACCGCTTGGAAGGCGCTTCTGAGGAGTCTGCAATGGCTCTAAACTGCAGCCTTGTGACCTTTGCTGCTTTCAGGATTGACCACAAAAAGGCATCGGATTCCCATAATGCATTGCTTGCTGATATCTGACCAAAACATCCTACACTGACACACACCATGCTGGGCACAACTCTCTCGCAGGTGGCCGCCAGTATTTTTCTCGCAACACAGATATTACATGGAGCGGCATCGTCTTCTCTAGGTCTTGTTGGACAACCTCACATCGGCACTCTCAATGTCACAGAAACGAGTTGCCGCGGTAGCTTCTGGTGCCCCAAATTCAATATTGGTTACAATAGCATCAACATCTACTTTCAAGACTGGATCAACTACACGATGTCCGACTCCGACATCTACGGCCCCAACGTCCAAATCGCATGCGATACAGTCACCATCGTTTTCCCTCCCCTTGGAACCTTTGCGTTTTGTGCCTCCACAGCGGGCGAAAATGTGCCGGCGGCGGGAATCAACGGCTCTTTGATCAAGCAGAAGATGGAGGAGCTGCGAAACTACGGCTGCTTTGCCTGCGGGAGTGTCGCGATTGCAGAGAGTGGCGATCCGGTCGAGAAAGGGGTGTTCAAGATTGACTTCGTTTCGGGTAACAAGGTGAAGTGTGGTAGAGAGGGACAAGTTGTTTGTCCGCCTACAGTGCCGAGCGTGAATCGTGAAGGGCTTGAACAAGGACCGAGACCGGAGCTGGGCACGTTCAATGCTACTATTGATGATGGCGCGATCACTCTTGAGGCGCTCAATATTCAAGATTCTTGAAAGCCTGGACGGTAGCCCACTGAGAAGCCAACGGCAGAACTTTATCCAAGAAGGCGCTGAATACTACTGTTGCAATGATATGAAGAGAACCACACCTTTTAAACAGTGATACTGTACGAAGAGAAATACACATTTATAGCTGCTGTCTTGGAGGCCCATAACCTCGATCCAGTGCGCGTTGTGATTTCTAAAATCATAATACAAACACGAGAAACAGACGCATTGAAAGTTTGTCCTCGCGAAAGTGATCAATTACAATTAACGGGACTGCATTTTCTTAACTCACGTTCATATTTCCATGAGGTTTATTATCGTCATGCTGTCGCTCTTGTGAAGATTTCCCAAAAGAAAACTTGATGAGTAAGATAGAAAAGGCAGCGCTGAAGTCACCTTGCACTCATTCGATACACACACCCATCACCACTTAGTAACCACATCTTTACCTCATCCGAGGATCAGATACCACTAGCGACTCAATGATACCGTCCAGACTGACCCCGCCCTCAACGAGTGTGTTGGACAACAAATGATCCGTGGAACCGAGTATTGCGTCAGCACTCACGTCCGCTACCGCTTCAAGACCCTCGTAAGTAGTATCTTGGCCCCAGTACCAACATGCAATGTAAGTGCAAGTTGCAGCAATGCTCTCCGGGCAACAGTGGGGGGGAATCATGAGAGGAGTGAATCGTTCGGCGAGTCCCAGGGCTAGAATTTTGATTCGGTCATCGGTGAGCGAAAGTCGATTGCAGTGGTCATTGCAGAGACCCTGTACCCCTTGTATACGAGAGCTCACAGCGGCGTCACCGGTGTCTGTAGCCCTTTCGCCGTCATTACTCTCGTCTTCTTCCATCGCGTCGTCATCTTCATGGTCTCCATCTCTGCCGTCATCACTCTCCTCACGGACGTCGGTCTCGAGGGTCTCCCAACTCAAGTGTACACCGAGATCTTCGCGGAAAGATTCACCGACGAGCTGATCGCACTCGTCGCGAACAACTCTGTAAGTGGACCGGATGTCCGCATACTCCGCCCCCATCAGGCTCTGGATTGCTCTTCGAGAAACGGGCTGACCGGCAAGATGAGACGCGATGTATAAGCTCACAGCAGCAACCTCCGATTGCGATATGTACCTCGAGGATTGCGGATAGCTTAGCAACTCGAAGCCTGTATGGATCAAGTTGGCTGCGATGTGCTGTGATAGTTCGTCGACTGGGAAGCTCACCCGGAGTCGGTCACAATACTTCGCGCAAAGCTTTTTCATTGCGAGCACGTCTCGGCTGCTCTGGATTTGGTCGTCAGACATCTCATGGCCGCTTAAAGGCCAAACCAGTATAGCGGGATCCTCTAACAGCTGAAGGATAGCGTCATTGATGAGTTCCTCCCTTCTCCCGTAGATGGCGCTGTAAAGCTCTCGAATGAAGTCCCCGTGGATGTCATAAGCCTCTCGAATGAGATCACCGTCGACATCTCTCACCCCACAAATCTCCCTGGGAGACCTGGGATGGCCTGAAATACACGAGGTTATATAGATGCCCAACGCGACTATGCTATTTTTACAGTATGGATGGACGAATGGGATTGGGACGTCAAGATCCAAGGGGGTTATAACGACTAGACGTGAGACATGATGGCTTATGATCGTGGCGAGATCACTGATCCGTTCGTCCAGGCGAAGCTGAGGGCAGTAGTATTCGCAAAGATTCTTCAAGATTTCCAGGCGACCCTCTTCGTCATCTTGGTCGCCATCTTCTTGGTCTCCATCAGAGTGGCGATCTTCTCTACCTTCCACGATGGCATGCTCGAGATATGGGCGCGGCTGTGCGGGAAAGAACATCTGCCGACAAAGGGGGCAAGAATTGTTTTCTTTGAGCCAGATGGAAATGCAGCCTGAGCCGACAACGTGATTACATGGCAGACGTAGTTGGAGTTCGATGAGACCTGTTTCTCGACTCATCATTCCAGTCTCTTGAAGACATATAACGCAATTCCGATCGTCTGACTGTACGCTATTGGCGGTCTGAAGCAGTGCGTCGAGAAAGGCTTCCGCCATAGTGAAATTTGAGGTTGAGGGTTGTGGATTTCTTTTCCGAGTTTGCTGAAGTTGAAAGATGTGGGATGCGGGTGATGCTGGAAACTTCGAATCAAGACGATATGAAAGGAAAACATAAGGTAGCACCTGCTCGAGGGATACATCACAAAGACGGTCTCTGTGGCTGGAGAATGGTGTTGTGCTTACTTCGAATGTGTGAGCCGCTTTGTTCCTTCGGATCATCTTAACACGGCCTATCTCATTGTTAGCGTTCGTAATCCAAAGAGCTTGACGAGTTCATTTTGTAGCATATGAGAATCTTCCCATCTCCTCTAATCTACGAATATGAAATTCTGAACAACTAACCAAGCAGCTTGTTCGATCAATACTCCGTACATCGACCGCGAAACAGAGATCTCGACATTCCTACCAATTTACCAGTGCAGGAAAATATCCACTCGTTCCATCTTCGCCCTCTTGGAGCAATGATGTTGTACACTAGCCACAGTAATGAATTTCACTTCCACACCTGATACTCCCGATATTGAGCGATTTCTCTTCATCATCGTAAGCCTGTTTTGTTCACTCGAAACAGTTTTCTCACTGTCTTGGCCTCAAAACTTGCTTCGGTCTTTGTTGTCAACATTCCTTGTATGAGAACAAATCTGCCGAGCATGTCATGCATATAACCAAAATCCAGTTCACGGGGCTGGTAGAAACAGCAGAAATCACCATGGGCCGAGCCGCTGGTGTAATAATTGCGACTTATCTCATCGGTGAAGGAATAGCGGACGCACTAGGAGCCGCAGTGGGACCTTTTTTTGTTCTTCTGGATATGGTGGAGGGCCAATGGGCGAGCGCAGCTTTGTGCGCCGTAGGACTCGCGCTCGGTGTGGTGCCAGAATTAGGTTTGCTCACCTTTGAGCGCCTCCATTATTTTCAAGTCACAAAGGTTCAGTATGCAAGCGACGAGTCGGTCGTGGGTAGCAGACCTTACTTTGGTATATAAGCCGTTTATTGATGGCGGAATGACTAGGGAGACACTGCTTGGTCTCAAACTTGTTTTTAGCGGCCGAGGAGATTTTGATGATGGGGAACCGACATCATGTTCTGCTCAACACTGAGGGAACGCACAACAACACTGCGCTACAACTGTACACTGAGGCGTGATGCAGGGCTGACTGCGGCGGACCAAGAGCTATGCTTCCTTCGAAATGGACCATCGTTCATATTGTATCTTTCATACAGTCCACTCAGCTTCATCCCGCTGCAGTTTCATCTTCGAGGTTGACATGTTATGCCAACCATTGAGGGTGTAATTTAATCCTATCTAATAATTCCGTTCACGCTTGGCGTATTCCCAATCTACACCACCAGTACTGACACAAGCCTTTGTATCGCATCCGTTCCTCGGTCAAGGTATGACACAAAACTATGTTCAAAGACTGCACAATGCATTCTCTTTGTGCATGCTACCCCAACACAAAGGTCAAGATTTAATGCGATCTCCAATACATCAAAGGGCTCTTGATCCAGCGTTCTATTGTATATAGTCGCTTCTTCGATCGAGCATCTCTCAACCTTATCATACCCATTGCGACATCCCATCTCCACGAATTTCAAACATCCACTCTCAATCTCTTGCAATGGCCCAGGAATTTCTCGACCAACTTCTTCGGATGGAAAACACCGTAAAAGTCGACGAGCAGGAAACCTGCATGGTGTGTCTTGAATCATATGGAACGCTCAACTCATCTACCGGCGCTATCGAAGTTCAAGTCCGCCTACCATGCAGCCATCTAGTGGGAACCATCTGCATTGCGACATGGCTTCGAGATAACAACAGCTGCCCTGCTTGCCGGGCAACCTTTTTCCCTGCGCAACCGCGGCCGTATCTCGAGTATGGAATCATAAACGACCGACCGTCCGCAAATACTCGGAGGATGGGAGGTCCCGATGAAAGGGTTACGCTTGAGATTTGCGACTGGCTCTGCGAGGAGCTTAACCTTGCCAGCGAAGTGAGTTCGATGGCTCAGTCAATCACTCACCCTTTATCGCGAATGCTCCGGGGACACTTTCACTCACCAGAGTGCAAAGCCGCCGTAAGCGTCTTCATTGCGTGGCTTCTCTTAAATCCAGGCTTTGGGGCTGGTTCGGTCGATATCCTTCTTCCAGACATGACACATAGAACGCGGGTAGGCGAAGAACATATTCGCTCTACATATCGTCACATCTACCCCAACCGAATGGAACTCATTGAATCGGATCTTCTCCCTGGCCTTGCTAGACTTCACATGGAGGGTATTCTAGCATTCTTGCCTTCTCCCAATCCCGAAGACAGTATCGCCAGCAGCGAAGAAGAAGAAAACGACAGAGAAGACGAAATCAGCGAACGTGAATTAGGAGATCTCGCGGAGATCCGTGAGCAGCTTTGTGCAGCAGTAGGAGGAGATGAGGATCTTTCTGAAATCGTCGAAGATCTTGCGGAGCAGATTCTCAATACAATGGACGACGAGTCAGAACTGGCTGATCGCTCTGAACAGCTCCGGGGAGCCGTATGCACGTTCATGGCTTGTCATCTTATGGGCGCCGAGATCTCGTATAGCGACGTTGCGCGTATACACGGCGTGAGTGAGCGTCTTCTTCGCGAAGCTTACGCTTACATCTTTCCTCGACGCAACAACCTCATTGAACCCGAGACAACTGAGACCATGGGTATTGGCAACCTCGAAAGGGTTCTTGGCGCCTTACCAGCTTTGAACTGGCCATTTCTATACTTGTAGGAACTGTGGCTGAGGGCATGATCGATAGAAAATTAGAGTCCGCGAATTGTCATTTGTTACTTCCTATGCTCGCTTCATATTAATAATACAGACAATTTTTATTAAGAGGATCACGACTATTGGCAGAGGTCGAATATGAGAAGTTCTCCAATAAGCAGACGCTATGTGACTCAACAGGCATTTGACAATAGCAGTGATAACTAGCAGCTGCCAGTGAATCCATGTAGAGATCAGTCCTTGATAAATCCCTTCATCTCACAACCAAAACTTTTCATTCTGATAATCAATCCATCCGCACTTCTAAACCTTTAAGAAAGCCATTCCTCACCTCACGCCGCTAGCTTACAAATTTCACTCTTCACCATCCTCCTTCGCTCTTCCACGATCCTAAAGTTCAACATCCTACGCTTTCCATCTCAACAACCCATCCACCTCATCTATAACCGTTTAATCACCAAGAACACCCATCAACCTCTCTTTTGAAAATGCCTAAAGGCCAAAAATTAATCGACTGGACCCCTGAAAATGACGCAAAATTAATGCTCACCATCCTCGTCGTCGAAAACATATATCCCAACTGCGAGAAAGTCGCCGCAGCTTTCGGTGAGCTTTACTATGCTTCACATCCCCCACAGTCTCTCGCACACCAATCTCACCACAGGCGGTGCCGTCAACGCGATGGCCATCTCCAACCGTCTCAGTCGTCTGCGCAAGAAGGCGGCTAAAAAGGGGCTTTTTCCTAAAGAAGGGAACAAAGCGCCCGCGGGGGGGAAAAAAGGGGGCCGTTGGGAAAAAAGGGGGGGGGGGGGGGGGGGGGGGGGGGGGGGGGGGGGGGGGGGGGGAAAAAAAAATTTAATTTTTTTTTTTTTTTTTAAAAAAAAAAAAAAAAAAAAAATAAAAAAAAAAAACGAGGCTTCTGACCGCAAAGGCTCCGACTCCTCTTCTATCCGCAAGACTTCCGCCAAAAGCCAGAAAGTGCTCACCGGTCGCGTGACCAAGGCTCGCACTCCCGGCAAGAAGAACGCTAAGAGCAATGTCATGATTTCTGGTGACGCTGAGGTTGAGGTTGGAGATAATGAGTTTGATGATGTTATAGAATCTAGGGCAGAAGATGGCGATGAGTTTGAGAAGAAAATTGCTCTACGTATCAAGAAGGAGGACGTTGATTAAGCGGTCTACGATGGCCTCGAAGTCTTGCTGTGCGATGAGATGGCTGCAACATGGCACGCACCTACGCAAGTCTTCTTCAGCATTACAGTGATGGGGTGATACTCCAGTCAAGGCACTGACCTAACAGACACTGGAGCGACGGGCACAACTTTTTGCTCGTCTCGTCGTACCACATGCGCGCGTACGTAGATAGCAATTGAGGCATTACAACTATTTCACAAAGCCACGACATCGCTCACCCAGTGCCTTAATAGATTGCACTCGAAGCCATCCCGAAACTCGATTTGCGCCACGATAGCCTTGTCCAGCAAAGTCGGGCGCAACTCTTGTTCGCTGTACGCCGGAAGCTAAAGCAAGATCTGCAAGTTTGTGCTCCGAAGTACTATACCGAGCCAATCAACCATAGATAAGGTACATACGGAGAAAATCCTCAGCAAGCACACTGACAAACTGACCGCCAGTCCCATTTTCGTAAGCAAAGATGCGAAAGGATTGTGCAATCTCCGTATGAGTCACGCATCTGACATAAACGTGACGTGCGAGATTTAAACTGCTCAATGCTACCTAACTTAAACGACACCACTGCCAAATGAACGTTTTCCATGGCTACTACACTTGACAGAAAGCCAAAAATCCGAAGAGATAGATAGAGAGCCATGATATCTCCTATTCCCCGGAACGACAGCGCGATCAGAACACGACGGCTCCTCCTCCGAGCAGCGCAAGAAAGCGACCTCATTCCTCTTCACGAATTATTCAGTGACGAAGATGTCATGAGATACTGGTACCTACATCTCCAACACCCACGAGCCAAGCAGCCCTTGCCCAACTAAGACAGTCCGCAGGTCCTGTGCCCCCCACACCAGTCTACTACAGACCGCGACCTACCTCCACGGAATGCTAGCCTCTCCCGCAAACGGCTCGCTCGACTTCGTCCTCGTCCTCGTCTCACCGTCATCCCCGACGGATCCGGATGCAGACCCACCTCGCGGCAAGGTGATCGGCAAAGCCGGCATCTGGAGCCTCTCGAATTCCGAAATCGGGTTTCTGCTCCACCGCGATGTCTGGGGCGAAGGGTACATGGCCGAAGCTCTCACCGCGCTGTTGGGCCCCAACGGGGTGTTTTGGAAGAGAGGCGTAGAGGGGGTGGTGGCGGATGTGGATCCGAGGAATGAGGGGAGTATGGGGATCCTGAGGCGGTTTGGGTTTGTGGAGACGGGGAGGGAGGATAGGACGTTCGAGACGCATTTGGGGTGGTGTGATAGTGTTTATTTGGAGCTGAGGAGTCGGTTGGCGAAGCAGGAGTCGTGAGATGTGGAGGCTCAAGAGTGGCTGTGTGAGATGAAGGTTTGAGAGGAAGCTAGAGGGCGGTAAGGGAAGACTTACTTCTTCTGAGTCGACTCCAGCGCTCTGCTCGAAAGATCATGTAAGCTGAGGGAATCTGCGTGGCGGCCTCAAGTGCGAGGTTTGGAGGACACTTTTACTGCGATTGGCTAGTGGATTATGGTACAAAGCAGTGAGCCGACCGACGTCTGTGCGTCAAGGAACAAGCTGCAGCGGCCCTGGGTGATATGGAGTGTTCCATAGAGACACCGAAAGGGATGCTTGTACAGCAAGATCCTTCTACTCACAAGGGAAGAATCACGACTTAGGAAAAGCCAACAGGATTGCATCGAATTATCGACGCAGTCGATCTTCTCTGACCAGCAAACCTAGTTTTTCGAATGCCAACGTTCATACCCTCAAGAATTCTTCGACACAGTCAACAAAGCCACCAACGTTCTCAATCATCGGCAAATGTCCCGCACCTTCAACCTCCCGGAACACTGCATTTGTTGCATTCGCTGCGACAAATCCCTTCATGACTTCGCTGCACTTACCGTCCTTGGCACCCACAACAAAAAGGCCCGGCAGCCTGATACCCTTCAGGTTCTCCGTCTCGTCATAGTTGTAGAGAATTTTTGCAGAGCTTTCCATTCCCTTGGCAGACGCGGCAGCTACCATGGAGATGGCCTTCTTCCACTCTGGAGAGCCTCGGCTCTTTGGAGTGAACCACCGCTCTACACACTGCTTACCAAGAGCCTCCATGCCATGATCCTTGGCGAATTGGATGCGTTGATCCCAGGCGGCCTCATTCGCCTTGTCGGAACAAACGGCGAAATCACATGCTATGAATTTCTCCAAGCGATCTGGATATCGGCTGGCAAATGCAACAGTGGTAATTCCCCCCATACTGACGCCAATGAGTGCATGTGCTTTCTGTATGAGTAAGGCTTCCAAAAGAGCTTTGATATCTGATGTGACGACGTCGAGCGTCAACGGTTTGTCACATCCCTCGAAACGATAACCACGGGTGTCTAAAATGTCCACGTCAGCTATTCACGACTGAGGAAATGGAAGAATGGTAAGAGCCTACCGTATCTAAGAAAGCGAAAGTTGGGGAAACGCTGCTTCAGAGGCGCTATGGCTGCATCCCACATGTGCAGGTCACAGTTCAGACCATTGCAGAAGATCAAGACAGGGCTTGAATCATCTACGGATCCTTCGAGGCGATAGTGAAGGCGATAACCATCATGTGGTATATATGTGTCGACAACCTTCTCCGCACTCGGGAGATGCAGAAGATCTCTCGGTGCCGCGCCAAATCTGTAGCAACGCTCAAGCGTCTTCCGTCGAGTATGCGAGCTCAACAAGGAGAAAATCTTGGTCCTCCATGGTGTCGATCTTGCATTTTGTATCTCAGGACTATCATCAAGACCGTTCTCTAGAGTGTAGTCGTGCACTGCAAGGAATTTATTTATGGGTACATGGGTATCCATATCAACCAAGCGGTAACGTCGACTTCTTCTCCAACCGGGGACTTTTGAGAGAAGTTTTATGTGTTCCTAGAGACACGAGAATGTTTAGTAGCTCAAAAGAATAGGGTAGAATCATCTATGTCCATGACGCAGATGCAACTTACCTCCTCATACCATCTATGCAGCCTGACTGAGATGAGCCAGTTGCATTAACACCAGCTAAGAAAAGGCTGCCTTACTCTTCTTCATCAGCCATGTCTTTTAAACTCATCTCAACCCAGACTAGCACAGAAGCATCTTCCGAGAAGCCGCCTTTCGTGGAAATCAACTCTCCGGCTTTCCTCTCTCTGGTGGGTATACCACTAAGCACTCTGACCTCTTTCTCTGAGCGATTGTCACGCAATGCCCTGTAAGACGAATCTGAGAGTATGGAAATACTCGTAAGGTCGTAAAAGGCTAACCAGGCTGTGGTTACGCCGTCTGTTTCTCGGTATCTGGCGCCTGTACTGATGCACGGTACTTGCAACCTCATGGGGCCACTTGGCTATTCAGCGAGACGATGCACCCCGCAACTATCCAATTCGAGACCTACTGCTCGTTGTTATACCACTCATGAAACCTGATGGTGTAAATTATGCATTCCTGCTACGGTCAAGGTTGGAGCGTACTCGTCCTCATCGAGGGATGAATCTGGCTGCATGAACACGGCCAGCATTCCTCTCGAATCCATATCACCCGGCATGATGCTATTGCTAATTACAACAACTGTGTTTATGCGGATTTGCGTGTTCTTGAAGACGTTGAAGAAGAGAAAGAGTGAGCAGGTCTATGCAGTGGAAAGGAAACCTTCGGCCCGACTCCGAGCGCCACATCCCGCTGAAAGCCAATCAATTTATTCCTCCTTCGTCACCATGCATCCTGCCTGCTTCAACTTCGTGCAGCACTAAGTGCAGCATTAGGTTCCCGCAAAAGATACCGTTGTAGGCAACAAGTGCCAAGTGAATGCACACCAGCATGGGGCTCTCATATCTCGAGGTCGCTGCGCCATCATGTTTGGTTCGGACTCCTACATTTTGCCCCATCAGCCATATACTACTGATTTTGGACGCACTGCAGATAAGTTGCAAATATGGGCTACGAGAAAGATGCGGCGCCGGTCTCGCACCAGATAGAAGCGTACCCAGCCGCGTCCAACGAAAATCCTGAAGACCTGGCCGGCCAGCATCTACTGCCAGCCCCAAGCAATGATCCAAAAGGTAAATAGCTCCCTCAAGGGAGATTGAGTTGCTGAAACGAGAACCAGATCCCTTGAACTGGCCAATGGCACTCAAAATTCTGGTACTCATCCAAGTCTCGCTTCTATCTTCCCTAGGCGGAATCAATACAGCCATGATCAACCCAGCCTATGTTCCCATGGCCAAAGAACTCCACATCAGCACCATCAGAGCTAGCTACCAAACTACAGTCTGCATAGCTCTAGCCGGAGTCGCGCCATTTCTCTGGGTGCCACTGTCGAACAAATACGGTCGGCGACCCGTGCTTTTAGGAACTACGCTCTTAGCCTTCGTTTCTATACTCGGTTCCGCTTATGCAAAAACGTTCAACCAACTCATTGCTGCTCGAGTTCTCAATGGTTTGTTTCCTGCCGTTTTTGCGCTGGGGCCTGCTGTCGTTGTGGATATGTTTTTCGTCCATCAGCGAGGCAGAGCAATGGGAGTCTTTACTGTGAGGGAACACCGCTGTAGCCTGAAAATTCTTGCCCGCTGAGATATGTCTAGGTCACTACTGTCAACGGATCTCACATCGCTCCCCTACTGGGTGGCCCTATAGGCCAATATCTCGGTTGGAGATGGTGCTTCAAGTTTGGTGCGATCTGTGACGGTGTCATGTTTTTCATCGTTCTATTCTGTCTACCAGAAACGCTCTATGTTCGACCCGAGGCAGAGTCACAACAACATCATCCCAAACCGAAGTACAGTAAGATAGCCTTCCTCGACGGCCTCAAAATCCGAGACCGAACACCAGATACTCCCCTCCGTTGGAACCACTTCGTTCTCCCCGTATTCAGATTGGCAGGGAAATCCCGCGTCGTCTATCCGGCCCTCTACTATGCGACGCAATACGGTTTTGCGTCCATCCTGCCCGCCGTCACTGTTGCGAGTATCTTCAGCAAAGAGTTCAAATGGGATACTCTCCAGATCGGGCTCGGCTACGGAGGTGCGTTGACCATTGGCGGGTCATTGGGAGAGCTTGCTGCGGGACTGGTCCTCGACTCGATCGTCAAAGCGAAGATGAGGAAGACTGTCCGTTTTCAGCCAGAGATCCGCTTGCAGGCGATATGGCATGGGGAGATTCTCGTGCCTGCCGGTTTGTTGATCTATGGGTTTACAATGCAGGACAAGACATCGTGGGTGGGACCGCTCATGGGAATGGGTAAGCCGCACCTTCAAGCCACCCTTTGAGCTTTCACCCATCTTCAAGGCTAATCTCCCGCAGGCATCGCGGCTTTTGGCCTCCAAGTCATCACCACGACCTGCTACACCTACGCAACAGACTGCCACCGCGAACAGAGCAACGACGTCGCTCAGCTATTCAACTTTATCCGCCAGACCTTCGGCTTCACTTTCGCCTTCTATGCTGTGGATCTGTGCGATACCATTGGATACCAATTCACATTTCTGTTGTTTGCTATCCTTGGAAGCGTCTTGGCTTTCATACCAATTCTAGGTCTTATCGGGAGGGCGAAACGTCAATTGAGGGAAAGGAAGAGCGGCGTAGTCGAGAGGGTAGCGTAAGAAAGACGCATGTTGTCTGGGCGAGCGAATCGCTTTGATTCCCTCAAGGAAGAATGTTTCTTCATGTCATTCAGCTTCCAGAAGAGATATTTTCCGTTCCGAGCTGACGCTGAAAGGGTTCACTTTCGTGGTGTGTAAAGATGATCAATTTTCCTAGCCACGAAAGCTAACCACATAAGGCTAGCCATGATGGCTATGGCTAAAGAGGAAGCCGCAGCTCCCCACAGGGCGGACGAAGTGTGATTGGCTACGCCTAAACAGGAGGTCACCAAACAGCCGAGGTCCAGATGGCCATACGCTAGACTATAAGAGCTACGTCAAGCGCACTGCATCTCTCCGCTTCCACTTTACGTATTCTCTAAGTAAACAATCAATAAGTTGTGTATTACATGATGGCACCAGTCACAAGAGGCAAAGATCAGGAAGCGATGAAACCAGAGCAGAAGGCCAAAATCACGCTGTACTGGTGAGCAGTTCGGGATTTCTATTTGCAACATCTAGTTTGTCCCAATATGAAGAGCGGTCCAGTACTTACTCCTGAGCTTATTTCTCTGCTTTTTCTCCTTTTGTCAAGATCACGAATACATTTCGCTTGCCCGCAACCCTTTTCCCCTTCATTCACCTATCGAGTCCCACCCGTCCTAGCATTCCTGCTCCCAATTCCTCTTTCTTAAAAAACAAACATACACTCTAGAGCTCATCGAAAATCCCTTCGACCCTTCCACTCATCTTCCACTTCACCCCTCATCCCCATCATCATAACCCCCACCACAACCCCCTCCAAACTCACAACCCCCGAACCCCCCTAGGCTCGAAAAATCCCGCTCCCAACGCATCCTCTGGCTCCTCGAAGAGCTCCACCTCACCTACGCCCTCAAGACCTACAAGCGCCAAAACATGCTCGCGCCCCCGGAGCTGCGGTCCGTGCACCCGCTGGGGAAATCCCCCCTCGTGAGCGTCGAGTCCGCCGACGACGACGCGACCCCGACGAAGAAGCCGCTGGTCCTCGCGGAATCCGGCTTCATCGTCGAATACCTCATCGACCACTTCGGGCCCTGGCTCGCGCCGGAGCGGTACGCGGGCGGCGGCGGCGGCGGGAAGAAGGAAGGGGAAGGGGTGGGGGAGGTGGGCGGGGAGACGGAGTCGTGGGTGCGGTATCGGTATTTTATGCATTTTGCCGAGGGGAGCCTGATGCCGTTTTTGTTGATTGCGATGTTGTTGATCAGTGGGTCTATCCTTCCTTCCTTCCATCCATCCATCCATCCATCCATCCTCCCCCTCCCTCCCCCCGGCCCCAACTCATCCACTCACGGCTACGCACGCACACTGACTCCGAAAACCCCTCTCCAGCCATCAAGACCTCCTCCCCCTTCTTCATCCGCCCGCTCGCCCTCCTGATCACCGGCGGCATCGAGTCCAGGTTCCTGACCCCGAACCTGAAGGCCCAATTCGACTTCCTCGAAAGCCAGCTCGCGACTTCGCCCGACGAGGGGGAGTTCCTCTGCGGGGCCGACCTGACGGGTGCGGACATCATGATGAGTTTCCCGCTCGGTACGTAGGGGGCGCGGTCGGCGCGGGTTTTCTTTTCCTGGATTGGATGCTTGGATCGATGTGGCTGGGAGGGTCTGTGCTGTATAGGGATACGTTTCAAGAGCCAGCAATTCTGTTCTTATCATTGTTGTTATTATGAAGCGGTGCTAATTCCGGGGTATCGATCTAGCGGCTGCGAAGTCTAAGGGACTCTTCACGGAGAAAGAGCATCCGAAGCTGTGTGCGTATGTTGACAGACTTGAGGCCAGGGACGGGTATAAGAAGGCTGTGCAGAAGATTGTTGATGTGGAGGGGAGCTATGAAATGTTGTAAGGACAGAGGGCTTCGTTGATGGGGTAGGGGACGTTATTGATAAAGGGTGCTTGGTGATGTCATTTCGCACGTAACTGTTTAGGATGGGAATAATGAGTTGGAGATGTTGATCGGAAACGTTGACTCTTATGATTAATGATATTCGATTGTTCCAGTCTTATCAATGATAAACAATTTCTACACAGACCTTCCCGTCTATTTACAACTTCATCCACAAAGCCATCATTTCTATCCTCCATATCCTGCCCGTCGCCTATCTCCGCCAACACCCATACATCTGCTTTCCTAAGAATAACCCTTGGGCACCTCAGGCGGCGGACCATGCGCCGCCATCATTTCCTCAAAAGCCTGCACGAATTCCCTCGGCGCATCCGGCTTGAAAAACAATTCCAAGTTCCGCCACGTCTCTTCCATCTTCTCGTGGCTCCTCTCTAGCATGGTTGTCTCAAAGTGCTTGATCGCGTCAAAGAGCTCCGTCTTCTCGTCTTCTGCGCTAGCTTTGACAATCGCTTTGCTCAGATCCAAAGCGTCGACCATGGCCAGATTGACCCCTTCGCCTGCGAATGGGGTCATCAGGTGCGCCGCATCGCCCAGCAAAGTGAGACCCTGTCTCGAGGTCCACGAGAAGTCGGTGGGGAGCATGTAGAAAGGGCGGGCCACGATGTCCGGGTTCGCGTGAGTGATTAGACTTTTCAACTCATCATCCCAATCCTTGTACTCCTCTTCCAGCATATACTTCTTGGTTGCGATCGCATCGGACCAATCCACACCCACATCTTTCAACCACGTCTCGGGCTTCTGCAACATGATGTATGTGCGGATCGAGCCGTCGCCATTGCGCTGCCCCACCAAGCCTTTCTTGTCCGAGAATGCGAGATAGACTCCCTGACCCACAAGCTTTGAGATGGCAGGATGCAGGGTGTCGACGGAGCGAATGCGCGTGTCGAGGCAGGAGATTGTAGAATAGTGAGGTTTGGTATCTGAGAGGAGGGGGCGGACTTTGGACCAGGCGCCATCTGCGCCGACCACAAGATCGAAAATTTCCGTCCGGGTGTTAGAAGTGGTTCGGAGATGGATCTCATGCTTGCCGTTGCCATTGCTGCTTGGGGATATCGAGCGCACTTTATGCCCCCACTGTATCGCACCCTCGGGCAACGAATCGAGCAGCAATCCGCGCAGCTGTATACGATCCACTTCCGGCCTATTGCGCCCTTCTATATCGACCTCTTCCATGAATAGCTTTCCGTGTTTGTCGGCCACGCGCATGTCTTCGCCTTCGCTGCGGGCGATTTCCTTCCACTCTGAATAGAGACCAGCTGCTTGGAGTGCGAGTTGTCCGGACTCTTCGTGCAAATCGAGAGAACCACCCTGCTCTCTGCTGTTGCGCGATGGCTCGGCCTCATAGAGCACGAATGGAATGCTGGCGAGGTGAAGGAGACGGGCGAGGACAAGGCCGCCAGGACCAGCACCGACAATGGCGATACGTAGGGTGGTAGTTGTTGTTGTTGTTGTTGATGAGGAGGAGGCCATGGCTTGAGCAGGATCTTTGAGTAAAGCAGAATTGATTGGGAGCTACTTTCTTTGATTGTTTGGAGTAGATAGCAGAGATAGTGATGTTGATTTAAGTATAAGAAAGTTGATACTGGACAATGGAGATAGAACCTACCTTTTATCACGTACTAGTGCTGGCAAGTTCAGTTCCCGTAGTCCAGGCCGGACTTTTGACAACAGTCCGCGAGGAGTCCGCGCCAGCGAGAAGATGACATTGAGGAGACGACAATGATCAGAGACTAAGAACGGACTCCATGGAGGAGCCCATTGCGAAGTCGATGCCACCAATATCTCCTAGTAGATTTCCGTAGATGATGGAGAAGCAAAGGAACTTCAAGGAGACGCTGCAGAGATCTGCGCTCAGTGAAGACAAACGAAATACTGTAGTACCCCAATATCATCCCCTATTGGCTCTAGAGTGATCGCCGCTTTATTGCGCGCAACGCGGGTGAGAGTCACGCTAGTCTGAATGATTCGAGCTGATTACAGGTGACAAAGAAGCCTACTCGGGGGAGTGACATTTTCAATGTGATTTTACACTCAAAAGAGTGACGAATATGGGTATAGGCCTGGAGAATAAGACAAAAATGTTAAAGATTGGAAGCTCAATATTGGTACATCCTGGGGGAAAATGGAGCAGTGGCAGCTTTGGATGGAGCCTCCGGCCCCCCAGTACCACGCGGAGGGAGGACGGCGGGATCTCCGGTACTCTACAGCTAAGGTAAGGTAGTGCTGACATATGGCTAGCGTTTCTTCGCCTTAGCATTGTGTTTCGCATTCGAGTCACTCATTACCCTGACCCATAGACGGACTTTCTTCATCACGGCAACGAAGATGTCAAATCCGATGGACAGGGGCCTATTAGCGACGGCAATACAGAGGTTCAACTCTATAACGACAAGCCATTGTCAAACAGAATTAATTCTTCTTCTTCCCCCATACAGAGACAAAGCTTTTCCAACCTGCAGTCACCATGTCTTGCCCAGATTGCTTCAAGGTTCCCGTCCACGATCATGCCGAAGCAATAGGTCAATTCGAGACTCTCTACGGTTGGAAGACGTACGTTACTGGCGACGCCAATGCTAAATCAGCCATTCTATACCTTCCAGATGCTTTCGGCTTGAAACTCGTCAACAACAAACTCCTCGCCGGCCGCTACGCAGCTGTGGCACCGGGTGCAAAGTACTCATTCCCGGCCTGCTCTGGCAAGGCGGTGCAGAACCATCCACCATGGACGCAGTGGAGACATTCTTAACACCCGGCGGCAGTTTCTTCACCAGACTCTGGTGCTCCTTCCAAACTGGTCCAGTCATCATTTCCTTCTCCACCTTCGGTGCCGCCCCCAAAGCATACCCCGAAGTCTTGATGTACGCCCGTGCCATGCACGCAGACCTAGCACCAGGCGAAAAACTGGGTGTTGCTGGATTCTGCTGGGGAGGGTATGGAAGTACCAACTCGTGCACGGAGAAGGCCACCGAAGGCGGTAGCGAACCGTTGATCGATGCTCAGTTCAACGGCCATCCCAGCCAGCTCAAGACACCTGATATGATAGTTGACGCGATTGCGGCCAAAGTGCCTTAGAGTCGTGCTGTTGCGCAGCTGGATATGAGATTCACCCAGAAAGTTCGCAAGAAGTTGGGGCTGCAGTGCGTGCGAAGGTCGGTCCTGCAGAGGAGAATCACTACGGATTTGTCGTCCATAAAGATTGTATACACGGATTTTGTGTACGAGCAACTCCTGGTACTCCGAATATGGGTGGCTACCATGCTGCAACCAAGCAAGCAATTCATTGGTTCAACAAATACTTGAAATAAAGTCAATTGGAGTACTTGATGGAAACCTCCAAAAGAGCGTGCCCACCAGGCTATCGAACTTGTTGAGCGGGAGGTCTTGCTGGTCCGGAGGACTTGTTGCTTCGAAGGACTTGAATCGTCGAGACTTTGCGCAATTGTGAAAGCCCGCAAAAATTGGAGGAACCCTGGAAAGTAGCGTTGGAATTTGCGGGACTAGAGTCTTTGCAGGGTGACTACTATTACTAGCTAAGATTTCGGTGGTATTTGTTGTAAATCTAGACTTCGTAGTCTGATCACTACTTGGCGGTCACCTTTAACAACATCTCAGCATTCCTATATGCTATGCCTTCCAAGACGTCATCGCCGACCATACCCTCGGCCTTCAAAGCTTTCAAGAACGCCAGCCCGGCTTCGTTCTTACCGAATGGATAGTCAACGCTGAACAGGATCCGGTCAGGCTTACATTGCCTCAACACAGCCGCCATGGGCGCCAAGAAGAACATGCCCGAAGTCGTTATCCAGACATTCTCGTCCCAAACCTGGCGCAGATTCCTATTGAGCTTGAGACCTAGATGTGGCCATTGTCGCATGGTGATGGCCTCGATGCGGTCGAGTTGGAAAGGCAACATCTCCCCAAGATGCCCTAGGACGATCTTGAAGGTAGGATAGCGGTCGAACAGTCCCGCCGCAAACAGCCGCAAGAAATGTACCGCCGTCTCGTTATGCCAGCCCCAGCCATACTCGCTCAATGATTCCGCGACGGCGTCCGGATAGTTGCCGTTGTATAGCAACGGCTTTGTTTGAGGGTTAGGCGCCGGATGGAGGTACACTGGTACGTCATGCTCCGCAGCTGCCTCAAACACCGGCCAGAAGAAGGGATTGTCGTAAAACCGCCCCTCGCAATTGCTGTCAATCAAAGTACCGACGAACCCCAAATCCTCCACGCAGCGGCGGAGCTCTCTGCTTGCAGCCTCGGGATCTGCCATCGGAAGTGTCGCAAATCCTCTGAATCGACCAGGTCGAGCTTCCATGAGATCACTCAGCTCATTGTTCACCTTCGCGCACGTTGCAAGGTCTAAAGCAAGGGAATTCGGTGCGTGGCTGACGATCTGTAAAGACACGCCGCTCTCGTCCATGGCCTTCAGTCGTGTCTCCCCGAGTTCCATGAGAGCGGGAGTTACCATCCCTACCAGACCATTCTCGTCATTGGGGTGCTTAGCATTGTTGGCGACGTAAAAGTCTCGGACAGATTGAGCGAGCCAATGCTCTTCGAGTGCAATGAGCGGGTATGGAAACGCCATGCCTGTATGATGCTTGCTTTGCCAGAATGTCAGATGAAAGATAGGGGCATAGGCCAGCCAAAAATTGCACGTCTGGCTGTCGTTTTGGAACGAGTTGTAGTAAAAAGTCCTGACGCAAAGTAATACATGGGCTTAAATATCAAAATGACATCCTATGTTGGCGGACTTAGGAATCAAGTGCACCGACCGGCGGAGATAGGAATTAAAGAGAACCTCAGAAGATAAGGCGAATTTACGCGTAGACAGCATTTCGTTAACGATAATTATACAAGTAATTACTTCTAGTTCGCTGTTAGTACGCATATGTGCAACACTCTAGCCTCACTCGCCAAGCCAAAAATGGAATTCAATGTGGGGGAAAATCAACCACCAAATCTCGGGACCATTACACATGATTTTGTATTACAATTTAGGGAGAATAGTTTGAATAGCTATCAGAAGCTTCTAGAAAATGAAGCTATACAAAAATCGCTTAATAGTAAGCCCAATTGCCATGTCTAAGCTTAACTACCATGCTGTTAATCGTCCCCTTAGGGCCTGTATATCTCGTAGTCTTTGGGGTATAGAATCTATCTGCTTGTTAATGAACTCTTGACTATTAGTATCTCATCCTTCTTGTAGAAGCTCCTTCAGCGAGTCTTCGTCTTAATGTGGTCGCTTGCTAGTATACTGTTTTGGCCCTTGCCAGCAATTCTCAATAGGGGCGAGATTCGGGGCATTATGACAATTGTAGAAGACTTCCACCTCCATTTTCCGAAATCACTTGGCCACAATGTTGTTCTTTTTGGCCAGATCTCCCCCGGAACCCCGTGACCTGAGGCACCGTCCTGTTTTTAGTAGGAATCTATCCCCTCTTTCAACCCATTTCTTAACCTCTACCTCCAGAATTTGCTTGACATAGACTTTCATTGTGATTGCCCCATTTGTATTACTCGGCACAGTGTATCAAATAATCTTTGGAGTCTTAAAGTTCCACCCAACTGCGGCCCAGCCATGTACACGATATCGAAGTTTTTCTGGAGGTGGATCTCGATGTTGAATATTGTCATGTCGATATCGTATTCTCGTTCCACGTCGACGAATAATAGTCAATTGACCCTCGGGCCCGTAGCCAGCATAGAACTCGTCGCTGTAGCGAATGTCGTGAAAGTCCTCTGAGTTAGGTCGATGTAGTAGTGTTACATCGGCTCAATTGACACGATCAGCTTAAGTTCTTTGATCCATGAATTGCTTCAGAGTAGTCTTGTATTTGCCGTAGTCAAAAGCGTCACACATCGTATCCCGAACGGTCTTTGGGCTCTTGATATCAAGATCCAGCTCCCAAATTATGGCATACCAATTCATGCCTTTGGCCTTCATTCCCAAGTCCGTATCCTCTAACAATTGACTTACCTGAGCAACTTGGGCCCCAGTCATCTTATGCTTCCGACCCCGAGTCTCATTATGGCCTTGATTATGGAATGTACGTGACGGAGCATCAGATTCGATCATTTTGTAACCAGGTCGTTGCTCCACATCAAAGAATTCGAATACATTGCGTGGATCCTCAGGAATGCCCTTTGCGCGTAGGTATTAAACTGCGCCTTGAACTTTGGCCTTCTTGGGTGTATCGTAGACTTTGTTTTTACGTCTAGGCTTCTTTCTAGAACGTTTACGACCCATAGTAGTGGTGTTATGTGGTGGAAAGATAGAAAATATGGAATTTTTGGTGGGGGATTATTTAGCGCCCACATTGAATTCCATTTTTGGCTTGGCTAGCCTCATTACTCACGAAAGTTCGCCACTACATGCGCAGTCGGTAAGTCTTACATATCGGACTTAGAGTTCTTTAACTCCTTTACACTAGATCGACTTTGCAGAATCTCGAGCAACAAAGAACTATAAGTGTAGGTGAGAATCAATGTTTTTTTTAAAGGGGAGAAAATAGAAGTTAGTGGGTGTTGCGCCGGAATCATCGGATTTTAGAGCAGGCATATCCAGGTCGATACGAGTAAAGCGGCGTGCAAGATCCGAATGACTGGGCTGCCAAGACCTCAGCCTTACGAGTACAACGAACAAGGACGTCAAGAATTCCTTGGTCTGAAATTCAAGGTCTTGAATCTCGATGTCGAAAAACACCTTCACCGAACCTGAGTGAAACCGCCCACCAAGTACCTCCACCAAGCACCTCCATCAAACACCACAAACACCGCCCAACCATGGACTTTGCCTCCCTCATGTCCGCCGAGATCTCCAAATCCTCCTCCAAACCCTCATCCTCACCAACCCCCACCCCGACCGAACCCACCAAAAAGTACCTCAAGCGCGCCGAGCTCGAAGCGCAGCGCCAACAAGCCTACGTCGACGAACAAGCCGCCATCCGACGCGACCGCGAATCCAAACTCCTCAAGAAGCGGAAGCTCGACGAAGAAGACGCGGCGCGCAACGCCGAGAGGGACGGGAAGCGGCGGCGCCTCGCCGAGGAGTCACGGATCCGGCGGGAGGAAGAGGAGGCGAAGAGAGAGCGGGCGAGGAGGAAACGGTTGGGGCTGCCCGAACTGCCGGAAAAGACGACGGCGGAGGATGGGACGGCGGTCCGGGGCGGCGAACCGGACATGCCAGACCCGGACCTCGTGGCCAAACTGCGCGCCCTCGCCGAACCCACCCTCCTCTTCGGAGAGACCCACGTCCAGCGCCTGCGCCGCTACCGCAGACTCGTCGCCCCCGGCCCCGCCCCGCCCGCCATGACGAGCGGGCCCATCCCCACCACGCTCTCCCTCCTCCCGGAAGCCGAGATGAAAGTCCCCCCCACGCTCCCCAAGGACGTCGACGGCCGGACCTTCCTCTTCCGGCAACTGGCCTCGTACTTCACCATGGTGCTGACGGAATGGAGCCGGGCGCTCGGGCGACGGGACGGCGGGGTGAAGGAGAGCCAGCAGGGCCGGCAGGCCCACGGCGCCTACGCGCAGTCGCGCGCGAACATGGCGCCGCTGTTCCGGAAGTTCGAGGCCGGGCAGCTCGAGGAGGGGATCCTGGCGCCCATGGTGGAGATCGTGGTGGCGGCGCAGGAGCGGCGCTACGTGGACGCCAACGACGGCTACCTGCGGCTGTCGATCGGCAAGGCGGCGTGGCCGATCGGGGTGACCATGGTCGGCATCCACGAGCGGAGTGCGCGGGAGAAGTTGCACGAGAGCGACGCGGCGGCGCACATCATGAGCGATGAGGTGACGAGGAAGTTTCTGCAGAGTATCAAGCGGTGTTTGAGCTTTGCGCAGACGAGATGGCCGCCGGAGGATTTGATGCAGTTGATGGGTTGATTTGGGCTTGAATTGAGCCTGGATGGGTAAATGATATCCACTACTTAGGTGAACCTGTAGCCTGTCTAGGATCAAAAGCCAGTGCTCAATGCTAAAGACATACTGTCTATAGCCAGTCAACTCCTCCCATATCTAGATCCCCGGGGTATACGTCCGTGCTAATGCGTCATCTCATACAGTTCCCACAGGGACGTCCTCCCACCCTTCAGGGGCTAGGGTCCCATCACCAGAGCCCTGTCGTGGGGACTCCCTCTCATTCCAAACGCCGTTATTGCACAATGGTGCCCAAAAGGCAACCCAGCAGGCGCATAGTCCCATCAACTCACAAACCCTCTTCCCATATTCCTACCCCTCTGCCCACTGACCGCATCCAACTTGACAGCACAAAGCACTATCTCCATGCCACCATCCTCCTCTCCCCGGCTGCCTCTTGAGGAGTACTCCACCCTCGGCTGGACGCGCATTCGCCACTGACCTTTCCTCACTATCCATTCGCCAAAATCATCCAGACTTCCCCTTCTCTTCCGTTTCTTCATCGGAGGGGGCCGCGTACTTGAAGGGCGCATTGTAGGATTAGGCCAGGATTGTCCTGGCGCCAGGCTGGCGGACGAAGGTGTGGGTATTTCTGGATTATATTCAAGCTCTTGTTGGTGATCTAGAGCGCTTTCATCCATTGTGTGTTCTTGGCCATCGAGTATGATGTGTGCGTCTTGCCCGATACGGATTTTGACTCTATCTTCACTCAGGGGCGTGTTTGCTGGACTTGCCGGGGCAGCGGATGCGCCGCCTGAAGACATCATGAGCCCGAGTGGCAAGTTGTGGGGCAGGTTCATTTTATCAGCAACAGTTTGGAAGAGACTAGATATGCGCGCTTTGGTATCACCGTAGAAATCGGCGCGCATGCTGCGGAAATCGATTTTCGTCTCTTGACTTCCTATTTCGACAATGGCTTCGTAGCTTGTCTCGTCGACGAAGGGCCGCATATAATTGACCCAGCCACCCAAGGGTGATTGGTCGGAGGGCGAAGCGTCGTTGACGAAGGAGACACCGGATTTGTGGAGGTCTTCGAGCTGCATTATGATTTCTGATTTGCCTCGTTCGGCATTGTAGCTTATGGAGTGCACAAATAATTTATGCATCAGGCCTTTGAAGCCATAGTACTTACAATCACTGAGGAGCTGTGCGCGGTGCTCCTTGTCGCGGATTGTGAGAGGGTAGCCGCGGGATAGATGGATGAGATCCTCAAAAGCTTTAGGGGAGCGGTTCGGTACGGTTTGCGGTTGTACTGCTGGAGGGCGCATGAGACCTCTGCTTTCGAGGCCTGGAAATGCATCATCGCGCGAGCCGAGGAAGCCTGCAAAGCCGAGGGAGAAGAAGTTGGAGGAGTTGCCGGCACCGGAGAAGGTATCGCGGGGTATCTGGAACTGTTGACCGCCTATTGAGACGAAGATTTCGGCGTCGAAAAGCTGGGATATGAGGCGTTGAAGGCTGTAAAATTGTGCGTCGGCGTAGAGCCTGACATAGTGAGCATTGTCTCTTGGAAGGACGTAGTAGCCTGCAGTCACATTAGTGATATGCTCGGAAAGTGCCATTTTGATTGCTGTACCTTGTAGATGCCGGCATATATCGGCGAAAGTATCCGGATCTCGGTCGATAAACAGCGTCTTTGTTGGTCCATTACCACTTTCATCTAGTCGCAGCTGCTCTTCGAAGTAGTTTGAGAAATACGAGGGCGCTCTAGGGAGTTCAGCTATAGACACCTCCCTATTCCTGAGAAGACGAGCTTACCATCCGAATTGATCGAAGCTCCTGACAGCCTGAACAGCCTCCACCCGATCTGTATAGAAAACGCCTTCGCATGGGGTAATATGGAATGTCCATTTCGCATCAGAAGGTCGCCTGTGCGCATCACGCCCGGCGTCCTAATGGGCCCTTTTCCATTCGAAAGAGAGGAAGCAGCTGAGAGTGTGATCTTCGTCCCTCCCACATTTTCTGCTGTAAAGTTCTCGAATTCGGAGCGCGACGGTCCCGATACGCTAGAGATCATTGAGCCTCCTTGTACATCATCTCCAACCCACATGTCTTGTGCGCGATTGTCCACCGCGAGCTTTTTTGGTGGAGCAGCACGCAAGCGAACCTCCAGCTCTCTCCGCCACTCGAGATAACGATCAGAGGGCGAATGTAACAGGCTTAGCACCGGAAGCCCAACAGCCACGCGGGAAAATTTCGGAAAATGTGCTGGGAGGGAGGCAGCTCCGGCTGACGTGCGGAAAGCAAGGATGTCAAAGGCGTAAGCAGCCAATTTCTGGTAGGCGAACCAAGCGAGGTACTTATGCAGAGATGGAATTGCAAATGAGCGGACGACCAGTGATCGAAAGAGCGCGGAAAAGACGAAGGTGATCTCAACAGGATAGAGGGTGGTTGAGCATGCTGGAAGGTCCGGCAGCAGTGGCCGCTCGCTGTGTCTATGAAGCTCGAGTAGCTGTGACAAGGCTCGTTAGTCGAGACAGAGTAGTCATGTTCTTGATATCACGTTAACTATCCGAGCTGTCAATTGGGTATGTGCACGTAAAAAGCGGTTGTCTCGAGGCGCAACAGATGATAAACGATGGGTTGGCCCTCAACTCTCTACATGCGGGGTCTAAGCGCGGTGGTGGTCTTGGCTCTAAATTGCTTCTCCGCCTCCACCCCCACCTCCACCTCTCCCTTCTTTCCCCATACTTTGCCGTATCAAACTGATATTATTACAAGATCTCTCATCCTACGAGTATGACCGAAGAGGAATGGATGGGTGGCGGACATCTTCATCGTCGTTGAAAGCGGCTTCTTGAACCTAGCAACATCAAGACAGAGCATACATTACAATTGATCTTCAGAGAAGCCAATAGAACTTCCAGAGTCCTGGCTCTCCGAATACAAAGTTACCAATCAATTCCCCCTCGTCTCCACTCCCAGCCCAGTCCCATTCCTCCTCCCTTCAACCACAGCCGTCAAAAGCTTCCCTACCGCCTCTAAATCGCCCAATAAGCCCACATGTCCCCTCTCTGTCCTCACTCTCCCACCCTTTTCACACACGTACCCTGGAGGCAGCATAGCTGCCCGAGCAAGACAGACACCATCGCCACTCGCAAATTGCAAGTCATCATACGCATCCGCGCGTCTAATCCCGTCACGGGAAGCAACGCGAGCAGCCACCACGGTTGGGGTATTGTTGGCGTAGAGAATCGCAAAGGGAGGGTAGCGATTCTTGGAAGTATGGTCCGGATTGTGGGCCATCTCCGACTTAAACGCTACTGTCTGGTCGAGCGTGCGTTGGAGATAGGCGAGAGCGTCAGGGAGAGGAATGGTGCTCTGAGGAGCGTTGCCATTGTTAGGTAGAGAGGAAGATGGTCCCATTTGAGGGTCGAGAGAGCGGGCGGATGAAGCGTTTGCGATGTCGTTGACCTTGGTGGAAGCAGTGTTGGCTGCATCTGCGAGAGGGGATTTGTCGTCTCGTGAACGAGAGACGGATAATTTCCTGCCTGGCAATGCGAGGGAAGGGAAGGAGTTAAGCATGTCAGCCATTGAGCCCAAGAGACCCTTGTTCTCTGGAGGATGTGCAGCAGGCAGCGCAGGAGCTATGCAAGGTGACCAGGCATACTGCTTCCAATGTTCCACGTCAAAGAAGTTTACCGGGTACTCTTCCTTGGTCGCCTTGTTAATAAAGCATTTGCCATCTTCTGGCAGCAAAAGAAAGCTACTTCGAAGTGTAAAATTGACCTGTGCAGTAAGGACGTTTGAACTTAGAAGTACTTCATCTCCGTTCCGTAAAGGCCCAAGAATGTTGACACAGTGTTGTGGAACGCCAGCAAATATCACGCCCCTGAAGAGCTCCGGTCGTTGATTGACTGAATGTCGCGTGATCAGCCCGCCCATGCTGTGTGCGAGGATGTTCGCTCCTCGTTTGTGGTCAGGCACAGCATCCGCATTGGATGGCAGTCTTTCGAGGAATTCGATGAGCCTCCGACTAAGCAGATGTGGGCTTAATCTCCAGTCATAGCCATAGTCATGTACCCGTAAGGTACCATCTTGAGCATGTTTGCAAGCCCGCAATCGCTTCAGAAGGCGTCTCCCCATATCGACAGGACCGATGTGACTCAGCATGCCTGATGCATAGATGTAATCTTTCATGTTCTCTTCGTCTTCTGGCTGGAGTCCCACTTCTAGATCAACCTTGCGAATGTTAAGACCGACTTTGATAGGAACCCATAGCTGACGATTGGGTGGCTTTGCAGATCGCAGTACAGATCCTCGATATCCACCCATAACTACCAGATCCCCTGTCAGATGTTCGAGAGCCTGCTCCAGGTAAGGATGAGTTGATTTTGGCTTTTTATCCATTAGGGTGCCGTTGCCCAACAGTTGTAGGCCTTGAGGCGCTGTATCATGCATTACATGGGCTCTAGCATCCGCAGTTGCTTCTCCATTCGTCATTCGCATTGGTCTTTTGGCTTCACTCTGAGCCCGAGGCCTTGTGAAATCTGGGCGAAAAGAGTCAAGATTAAGGGTAGATACATTCGGCATTCTTGGTAGTCTGATGCTAGAATCCTGAAAGCTGTCTTTTATCGCCTTCATCCTGCTGTTGACCTGATCCTGTACATTCTCCCATCTACTATCGTCGCCAAGCGAGGAACCTATAGAGGTAGCTCTGCGAAGCATTAGAGACTGATCAGAAGTGGACCGATGTAATCGTGACTCTTGGGGGGACAGGGCGATCTTATCAGACGATGCCCTTCGACCCCTCGTACTAGGGGTTGGGCTCCGGCGCGCATTTGATTGCGGTTTCAGGCTTGTGTTTCCATCGGACGCCAAGCTGGGTGCTGTGTCATCTTGTCCCTTCGCAAGGTCACCACTTGGCCGCCTTTCGGGTTGATTCCAAAAGCCGAAGCCTGACTTCATATCAGCAAAGGTACTGGCTCTTTTCTGCCTCGTTGCAGCTCTCTGTATTGGGGAGCGCGACCGGGTATTGCTAAGTATTGAGGAAAGGCTGGGGATCGAGATGTCTCTGAAATTTGGCGTCTTGGGTAGAGATGGGAGATTGAAGCTCGAAAGATAGCGCCTGGCATTCAGATCTGCCAGCATGCTTGTAGGTCCGATTGCCTGGTGATCTTGACCATGTGTCTTCAATTTTTCGAACGGCTGGGGCTCTGCTCTCCATGGTGAAGGAAGGGTGACGGAGTGTTGTCTGTTCGTCGATGTGAAGGGTTCCTCAGAGGAATGACGAGGAGTCGTTGGCTCTTCATTCACACCAGCATCTTCCTGACTATGTCCATTGTCATCGGCAGCGCCGTCGAACATGCCGAGTTTGTCCAAGCCTCCCATGGCCGCAGCTTTTTCCGCAGCGGGTGTCTGAGGAGACAACAGTCTTGTCTGGGCTCTGTTAATGCTGACGCCAACAACTGAATGTGCATCCTCTTCAAGCATTGGAGTGCCGTCTTGTTGCTCATCTGGAGAAGAGCCATCGCGATCAGAAGGAACAATAGACAGGAAACGCGGCTCTGGCATTTCTAGGTGCAACGGCTTGCCCGATGAGGCATTTGAAGTTGCACGGGTCCTTGCGGAGGCATTTTGGGGGGCGGAGGATGTCATGGCCGTTACATTGGCGTAGCAAATCCAGAGGGTACGAGCAATGAGGGCGATAGCAGTGCTGCTTGGTTTCAAAATAGGCGGATGGACTACCGTGAGACTCAATCAGGAAGAAGATCTGTCGACGGCATGGCGCCAAGTATCATGTTACAGTCACATATTCTGTGGTGTAGAAAAGAAGCATCAGTAAGCATCATTCACGCACTGGGGTAGTGTTTGACCCGCTTCAGCCGGGTAAAGTATCTGGCCTCTCATCCTTGGTGAAGTAAAATACAAACGTATTTCGGATGCTGCCTTTTCAATCGCTATTTTTCTCCTGGTCAATCGCAGCATTCCTGGTGCCACTGAAGGGACGCGCTTTCAACTCATTCCGAGAAGTGCATCAAGGCAAGCATCAAGGTCCTTGCCAAGATATCATACACAGCCACCCTAGCCGACGGGCAATTGGTAAGGTATAGCTGAATGAAGTTTAGCATAGCCGTGTTAGTGGCTTGGCCTTCCCGGCTCCCGAGGACCCCCAACGCTGAATCTTCAACCTCCCTTCCTCGACCACTCATCCTTCCATCGACTTCACTGTAGGCTCATGAGGACCTAGATACACCGTATTACTTTCATGCTCCGGTCCAAGAACAGCTTCGACCTTTCATAATAGCACAGCAGTAACAAAGGGTTTGCTCAAACGCTGCCAAATCCATCCATCTGTCTGACCAGCCCAAAGTGAAGAATTTCTTACTCCTGTTCCGGTCCTTGCAACGCTGCACATCCACCCAAGCAGTATCAGCAAAATGTCAGGTCTTGACGTCGAAGCTCTACTAGATTCCACCGCCCATAGAGCTCCTTCTGAATCCAAGGAGCGTCATAGCAAAGACCGCGATGATCGCTACAAGAGTGACCGACACGACCGTGACCGTCATCGCGATGGCAGCCACCGAGACCGAAGCCGCGATAGAGAGCGGCGTCATCGAGATAGAAGCAGAGATAGAGTGAAGAAGGAAAAAGATGTTGACGGAGATGTAGCGATGGAAAGTCCGAGAAGCGAGCGTACAAGCGGACGTGATGGTCATCGAAGCAGACGAGACCGTAGTCGAGACAGTGATAGACGTCACTCACGCCGTCATAGGGACTCCGCCGACGCTGAAGACTACCGTGGCTCTGGAGGAGACTTCTACCGCGGAGGTGGGCGCGCTCGCACTCGATCAAGATCGCCTAATGGGGACAGATACTACCGACCCGGTGGCGATCGACCTCGCCGTGATGACGATGACAGAGTTCGAGACAGAAGCCCTCGTCGTGACCGCAATGCTGAACGAAAGCGTACCCCGAGCCCCAAGCGCAAATCTCCTACACCGCAGCCCACGGAAGATGAGCGTGATAGAAGGACGGTCTTTGTGCAACAGCTGGCTGCGAGATTGAGAACGAAAGAGCTGATTGCATTTTTTGAGAAGGTCGGTCCAGTGAAAGAGGCACAGATCGTCAAGGACAGAGTCAGTGGGAGATCCAAAGGGTAAGCGTCTGAAAACCAACCCCGTATGCAGAGTATTCACTAACACTTGTAGTGTTGGTTATGTTGAATTCAAAAAGGAGGATTCGGTTGCTCTGGCTATCCAGCTTACAGGCCAGAAACTTCTAGGCATTCCCATTATCGCCCAGCTCACCGAGGCCGAGAAAAACCGTCAAGCTCGCAACCCCGAGGCTACCAGCAGCAACCCCAACCAGATCCCGTTTCATAGGCTCTACGTAGGAAACATCCATTTCAGCATTACTGAGAGCGATCTACAGAATGTCTTCGAACCTTTCGGCGAGCTCGAATTCGTTCAACTACAGAAAGAAGAACAAGGGCGGAGCCGAGGCTATGGCTTTGTGCAGTTAGTACTTTCAAGTCCTCATTCGCCGTGTTCACGCTCACCCCTATGCTTTAGATTCCGAGATCCCAATCAGGCCAGAGAAGCCTTGGAGAAGATGAATGGCTTCGATCTTGCTGGGCGGCCCATCAGGGTTGGCCTCGGTAACGATAAGTTCACCCCTGAATCTACCGCAAATCTTCTCCAGCGGTTCCAAGGGCAAGAACACCAACGCAACTATCAGGGATCCGCCTTTTCCGGCCACGGTGGTCGTGGCTCACAAGCAGGTGGCGCAGGTGGCGCCTTCGATCGTGCTGGAGGCCGTGACAATGAAAAAGGTGGAGGAGGCGCTAGTGCCCTTGACGATACAGACGTGGCTGGAGTGAACTTCAACAATTATAGCAGAGATGCATTGATGAGGAAGCTTGCGCGTACAGATGACCCGGCACCCGAATCGAACGGTGCTGACCAGAAGCGCCCGGTCGTCAAGCCAAAGACAGAGAACAAGCCATTGCCTGTCAGCGTCAATCAGGCTAGTAGATGTGTTTTGCTCAGGAACATGTTCAATCCTCAAGAGTACGTCTTAGCTTCCCTAACTCCTATTTTTGCCTCTTCGGTAGACCAAAATTGACAGTCCTACAGGGAAGAAGGTGACACTTGGATCAGAGAGCTCGAAGACGACGTCCGAGCTGAGTGTACCGAAAAATACGGGAAAGTCGTTCACATTTCACTAGATCAGAACACCGCAGGCGACATCTACCTCAAATTCGACCGCGTCCAGGGCGGCGAGAACGCCATCAAAGGCCTGAACGGACGCTTTTTCGGCGGCAGACAGATCTCAGCTCAGCCTGTTGTCGACGCAGTCTATAGCTCGCTGTTCTCGAGAACTTCTGCGCTTTAGGGATGCTGACGGTATAGCTAGTATGCTTGCAGGTGGTCCTTCGGTGGAAAGACTGGTTGAAAGTGGATGTCCAAGGGACGTGGTTGCACTGACTAATGTCTCTAGATTCAAAAACAGCTTTGCATCGATGAGGCAATCTGGCGAACAGGCTAAGTGCGCATTAGGTCTTCTTGCTCATGCAACCTCGTAGGTGGTAGTAATAATGTGAATACAGGACTTCGTTGCTGTATTATCATTGTTCCTTGATAGATTCATATGCTATGATACACTTTCAAGTCCATTTTGTGATGCTTCCCTTGATGAAAAAACGCCGCGATCCCCTTCCCTTTGCTAAACATAGCTTTTCGAGGATGAGAGAACGACAAAGAAAGCATACCTTTCCGCAGCGCCTCTAAGGGAATCAACCTCTTCCTTCGGCTAGCACACAAGGACATGTAAACCCCGTGTGTATCTAGAGAGAAAATATACGTATGTTAAAGGGTGGTCAAAGAGGGCACTCATGCCAAAGCTCGTCGACGGAAAACTGGGCTCTCAACCGCATCAAGCTGCTGCTGTTGCTGAGGCTGCTCAGGTTGCTCTTGATTTTGGCCAACTTTCGGCTTGGGGAAACAGGTCGACAGCCCCCCCCCCCCGCCCCCCCACAACACCCCGGGCGGGCGGCAGTGTTCTTGTGTATCTTGTAAAACTTCTGAACTCCAAGATGATACACTGAAAGGGCTGACAGCCCCAAAGTAACAGATGTCCCAGCATGAAATCTGGGGTAGCTCGACGGTGAGATGACCAAATTGGGTAGAAAGCCTTGCGCAGACACAAGATCATTTTGGTCGAAACCCCTGGTTGCGGAGACTGTGAACGCTGTGCATGCTCAGCAGTGGACGGTCTCCTCAGCCGCTTGCCCCAACCGGAAGCTGCTCGACACTAGGTCTCTGTGGACACTAACCGTTCCTGACCCGGAAATAGAGCTCAGCGTTGTAAGAATTTGGTATTTTTAGTGGCGTCGTATCTTTTATCACTTCTGTATCCAGCAATCTCTCCACGATGGTCTTCCCTATCCCGAGATCCCAGATCTCCTTAGACAATTCTGGAGCGGTTGACAAACGTGAAAGCAGGCACGTCTTGAATACACACAACTCCTACAAGCGGTTATCAATAAAAATCGATGATCAAGAAAGCAACAGCGTCTTGCTAGATTTGAAAGACTTGCTTTTTGGGGAGGAGGTTCAAAGCAGATTCTCTGCTGATTCATGCGTCCTTCGTTCGAATCTTGAACCATGATGGCATTAGAAAAGAGGCTGTGAGGTACTAACGAGCAGTGACAACCATCCGAGAGTGCGCTGCCTGATACCCGAAGAGCATTGAAATCCATCACAACTCATTTATGTCCCCTGCATCGCTCTTCGCTGTCTGTCTTGCAAGGTCTCAGACCTCTCTGAAAAAGGCGGTGAAAAGACCGGCCACCGCAGTAGCAACAACCCCCTAAACGTCTCAATCTTAGAAGGACCGTGTGGAAAAGGCTTGCAGTCACAGAACTAACAGCATCTGCAGGTCTCAGAACTGCACCAGAAGATCCTAAAAGCGCTAGTAACACAATGGTGCAACGACCTTTCAAACATGCTAGACTTTCAAAACCTAGAAGCACGTATTAAAGGGGCTATCGATCAGAGAAAAGGCATCATTGCAGATACCCCAAAGAGCTGTGAGAGCCATGCTAACAGAATTCCAATCCCCGAGAGACGTATAGCGAGGGATGACGACCACCAATGAAGGTAACAAAGGGAACGCAAACAACCACAGTAAAACGCGTCAGCAGGGTTTCCAACCAGGAAAGCAACAACACCTTGCCAAAGATTGGCAGAATCTTGTGGGGAAAAGGGCGTCTATCCAGGAAAGAATACCATCAAGATCACATTGAAAGGTTCGATAACCACCATAGAATGCCTTGAATGACTAGAGGGGTAATATACTGATGTAGGAGAAAAAGGAACATGCCCATTGAGAAGCCATAAGAATCACAAGGGAGGAATTGACGCTCACAAAAAAATACATTGCAAGGGCAAACAGCCAACCAATAGGATACGAAAAGGTTCATAATCGGAACATTAGGGTCTCTTGCATTCTCCATTGTTGAGGATCGTCGCTATACACTGAACGAAAACTGCTTGCTTCACTGATCCCGTCACTTTGGGTTAGCGTCTTTTAGCGTGATAAGTTCGTCTACTTCTTCGCCCACCATCCCGTCTTTCATTCTGACAACAACCTCTTGGTTCCATCCGTCACAACTCATCTTCATCAAGGTAGCAACAGCTACACTACACATCTGGAGTGGCAAGCACTTTGGAAAGGCCAGAAACGTCACAGAGTAAGTCCGTCACGTCCGTGCTTCTTCACCTCACTTGGTGTTGGGCTTTGTGCTCGCCTTCACGTCATCAACGCCGAGCTTCGCACTCTTCTCCCTCTTATCGGTGCCGAGCCTTGTACTGACCTTCACGTCACATAGACTTATCACAGCGATGTCTCAAGAGTCCAACGCCGGTTCGCGTCGTACGGAAGGAGGACTGGCAAATGCGTTGGAAATCCTGACGGTGGGCCATCAGCCCCGTCAATCAGAACATCTGGTCGGTTGTTTTCTTCATCAGTGTACTCGTTTTTGAGTTGCTAACCCGTCGTACAGCGCAGTGATAAGGTGTTACTCGGCGAACTTCAACGTCACATCGGGCGTTTGGAGGAGAAGATCGAGCAAAACAGAGAGCTATTACTGCAGAAGGACCGTGAGATTTCAGACTTGGATCACGCAAACAAGGACGTGCATGATGATCTTGCCCAGCACAAGACAAGACTCCGAAAGGTGGAAACGGAGAAACAACTACTGCTTCATAACATCAGTCACTTGAACCAAGAGATTGATGCGAAGAGTACTGCGTTAAAGAAGTCGAATGACGACTTCGTTAAGGCGCAGAAGACCATCAAGGTCCAAAGTGATCTGATCTCTGGTGCGAAGGACGGACCTAAACCTCACGGCACTCCTCAGCGCTTTGGTCCTCCTGCCGGTGCGTACAGCCAGGTGTACAATCAGCCGCCTCCGGCCTACAATGCTCCCAGCGGTCGCTTCCCTCACGCTCAAGCTGCCACAGCGGCACAACATACAGCTCCTGGCCTGCGTCGTCAGTCATCCAATCATCCGACCTTTCAACCACAACCCTTGTTTGGCACTCCCGCCAATCAACGTCGCCCATCTGTGACTCCGCCAGCGTATAACCCCTATCAAAGCCAGCAAGGCGTGCTCGTCCGACAGGACACCGACCAAGCGTCCGGAGTCGATTTGATTGGAGACTTCACTCCACACTTCCACCTCATCGAAACATGGACGCACAACTACGTCAGCGTCCCCGATCAGCATAAGGACCAGTTCATATCAGACCCTCTACGCAATTGCCTCGCAATAGCCACCGATCCTCGCACAGCCATGAAGCTCATGACCTCCAGCAAGACTCGACCCTTGCTCATCGCGCGCGTTATCAACCAAATTATTGTCGACTTCGCATTCCGTCCTATGCTCCTCCGAGGCTTCTCGCCCTTCTACGACAACAAGATCTCGAGCTTTCGCGGCCAGCTGATGGGCAACATCCCCTCCAACGTCCGTCGTGCGCTCCTCCTCGCTTGCGCCGAGACAGTCGTGGATATGACTCAGGCAGACGGTTTTGAAAATTGGATGGATCGCAACATCACGCCCAAGGTTCACGACATGTGGCACCTACTCCAACCCCTCTTCGCTCACGGCACCCCTCGCGATGCAGCTTGGAACGATCTGAATCGGATCTGGAGAGAGGCCACTCGCATCGGCATCCTGATGCTCTCGAAGCCGTGCATCTACACGCTGGACTTCCCTCCCATGGGCCCGAGCTCTTACTTCAACCCGAGCAACATGTGCAACCGCGACCAAGATTTCACGCAGAATCCTCAGGCCCTTAGCAGCATGGCTGTCTCTGTCCGCCTTGCCATCACGCCCATCATCACCGAGACGGACTTCATGAAAGACGCGATCGAGGCGAAATGTCTGCACCAGGCCATGGTTTTGCTTGCCATCTAGGATGGAGTCAATGACGGATGGATGGCTTGGTCCGTAAGAGAAGGAACCATTGCTCTTAGTGAATATTATGGCGATCGATTCCTTTTTCCGTGTGACTTCTTGCAGTGAGCGGGGAATAGACAACTCCCAACAACAGCATCAGATAGGCTACTCTTGCATATCGAAAACTCAATAGAAGGCGTTTTAACAAACCAGTTCCTCGTAATACGTAACAGTCTTTAGGGAATATCCCCCCTTTTTGGACGATCTGACAGGCAACACCCCATTTCAGATATTCGAGAGAAGCTCTGTATATTCTCAAATATCACCGATTGTGACACCTGTCGAAGAGTTCTCCCTTTGGTTTTAGAGGACTTGACGGCTATAAAACCATGACAGTTAATGCATGATTTTGCTTTCCGATGAGGCTTTCTCGGGGAACGACCCTCAGATATTTGTAAAGATTCAGCTTCCTCTTTCTCCCGGAAAGTGGCAAGTCATGGGCGTAGGAGGTCCACAAGATGGCAAGCGGATAGCTCTCATACCTAGCCAAAAAATAAAGGATAATGATATCCTCACTTGCACCTCTCCAAACGACTGTGATACTTCATGGGGATCCTCCCCTACAATAGCGTTCTCTTCCCTCTCGGATCCATCGCCTCCCGTCTCCTCCACTCTCTACTCTCCTTCGTACCTAAACTCCCGCCACCCCCTTCATTCCTCCTCTCCCAGCCTCCCAGTCTGACTACTAGTGCAGTAGCATTATCGCCATCACTCCCCACCTCCGTCGCAAAGCTCACGACCTCTCTTGCACCCAGCTCTGGGGTCTTTGCTTCTTTGACCAGGTCTACAATCTCCTGATCACCAACCCCGCCAGATACGCCGTCGGAGACCAAAACCATGAAGGCGTATTCAGAAGGTGCGAGGTTGAGGTGGCGGATTTCTGGTTCAGCGGACACGCCCATGCGTTTGGAGCCCATATCGCCGAAGGCGCGGGTGTTCGCGAGACCGGACATGCGTTCTTCGCCGAAGGAATCTGTGACAAAAGAGGCGGCCCAGCGGCGGAGACGTTCGCTTTCGCTTGGGGAGGAAGGGTGGTGATTTGTTGTTAGCGACACGGCTTGCCCGTTGGAGACATGGGAGAGGAGGATTCGTGTGTCGCCACAGTGGGCTGTATAGAGCGTGCTGGGAGTCGAAGGATGCCAAAACGGTGTAGGTGTAGGCGTCGAGATGAGCGCAATAGACGCCGTAGACCCGCCTAGGAATGGTTTCCTGTGCTGCGCGGAAGATGGCGGATGCGACGGTGAGTGTAAATCATCGTTCGCATTGAGCGGGCGATCGGAAGCCACAGGGTCATTATCGTCACTAGATAGGCGTAATTGGGCGAGGAGGAAAGATAAGTCGGTTTGCAGAAAGGCGTGGGTTAGGACCGTTGCGATTGAAGGTTTGGAGTCTGAAGAGAAGGCCGTGGGTTTGAAACGCCGAAAGTAGCCTCCTACAGTCTCTTTCCAGGACTTCATAAGGACGGTCTGGAGCCTGTTGGCTTTGGAGGGGTCGTAGCTGGTAGAGTCCGTGCCTGCCTTATCTTGGACTTCTTTTCGTCGCGATCCTGCTATTTCCTTTGCTCCCTTATCTGCTTCACTTGCCGTGCCATTGAGCGTAGACTCCAGCCCATACTTCTCCGCCGTCTCCTCAATACTCTCATGCAGCCTCTCCCTTAGATATCCACTACATTCCGTTCCCCCATGCCCATCAAAGACCCCGAAGTAGAAGACCTGCGGATCTCCACTCGCACTCTCCGCAGAAGTGCTCTCCCCCTCTCCATTGCCTTTCTCCTGTTCCTTTCTTTGCAGTTCCCTGTACGCCTGCAATGGACTACTCGCCGGCGCCCTAGTCAACGTCCTCGGTGCCCTTTTCGCGAAAGCAGGTATTTCGATGACGCCCGCTTGGTATGTATCTTCATTGTAGGGCCGAGTGCCGCGGGAGACAGAGACACCAAAATGATGCTTTGCGCTTCGTAGCGGTATTCGCACCACTGTAGTATCTCTCGGACTTCCAAGCAAAGGAGCCGGCGAAGGGCCTTCATTTGTATTATGAGGCTTCGAGGCTGAGCGAGGTAATTGGTGATGTGGGCCTGAGGAGGAGCGGGAGTCGGGATGGAGGGAGGAAGAGGGGAGGTGAGTTACGAAATAATCATGGAAGGCGCAGTAGAAGTTTGCATATCTTCTAGGGTTCCGATTTGTAGGCCGGCCTGCTCTAATTGGTAGCAGACCAAGCATTCTTGTCCCATTGCTGCTGCTGTGGCAGAGTAGATGTTGAAAAGCTGGGGAAAGAGTGCCTCCATAGGTACTCTAACTCCACAGTACATTACCTCATTTGGTGAAGCGTACTAGTACCGTACTACGTCTATCCGGCTACCTTAGCCCCAACCTCCAACTTCCTATTGACCCCCACCGTGGGTCCCACGCCATTCCCGTTTTCGTTCCTGTACTTATGTCAAGCGATAATCCTGGTTTTCGCGCCGCCTGTGTCCAGAGGTGATTGCTATTACAACGGTAACCTGTATGTCGAAGTTGGGACCCTCAATCGACACAAGGGTGCAACCGTCAAGAAAATCACCACATTTCTCCGCCCAGATTCAAGACAACCCAATAATGCCTCAATTGACCCGCCAAAAGATTATACCACCCTCAAAGGATAAAGCAAGGGCGAAGATGCGGCTGTTGGAAGCACCGAACTATTCCAGAATGGCTCAATATCGCCAAGATGGAAGCTGAAGAGAGAGTATGCTACGGCGGACAGGAAAGCAGAAGCTCCAATACAAAGCTAGCAGAGCGCCGACCAAGAAGACTGAGCCATTGCAGTTGGCAAGAAACGAAAGCATTCCGAGTCTTCTGGAGACATCAATAATATCAATTTCAACATCAGCTTGGGGAAAGACTTCCAAGGACTCTTGGGCGGTGTCAATCCTTCCGACAGCCAGTCGCCAGCCAAGAAAGCCAAGACAGGACCGTCAAAGCCAACTAAAAGGAAGACTGAGGAATTTGGATCTTCAAAGCCATCAAAGAAGGCTACTGAGCTGGGATTCGAGGAACCGTTGTCCCAAGCAAGAAAGGTACATAGACGGCCTATACAAACAGCGAATTCTGCAAAGCTCTATTAAGCTTGGTTGAAAGATCCCAGCAAAGGTCTACGACCCGTGAATATCGCAGATCTCAGACATTCCAATACACCATCGAGTAGATTCAGTCTAGCAGAAGGAGACCTGCCATACCCGTCTAATACGAACATAGGAGCTGCTGAAGAGATATCACTAGCTGGACAGAAGCCTATCCTCGCGAGAGCCAAGCGAAAATTGAAAGTTGAGGGTACAACGCAAACTGGGAAGGAAGTCGGCGTTGGAAAAGAATTAAATGCCAGAAAGGAAGCCAGGGTGAAGAAAGAGCTCGGTGCTAAGCCTTTATCCAAGATCAAACATGGGCTCGACGCGGACTAAATTCGCACTCCAAATTCACCGTTCCTCGGCCTCATTAACGGCATCTACGACCTCTCCTCGCCCACCGTGGAGCGCGAATGGTCCTGTACGGACCCGACCCTCACCCTATCCCTCGACGGTACCACCATCTAAGGGCGCCTACGACCTGAACACGTTCTCCGGCATCGTGTTCCTTCCTCATCGACCGTGGCAAGCCTCTAAAGAACTTTTACCTGGCGCGGCAAACAAAGATGGAGAGGGCGAGATGAGCTTTGGACACGGCTGTGGACGGGAGAGGTTTTTCTTCGGGGAAGGGAAATATCGAAGGCTGAACTCCTGTGTATGGACGATATTGTTTCAAAGGTGTTACAAGGCCTGAGGGCGGCGCGGCGGCGAGGACGGCGAGGAGTATGAGGGTGGAGTGGGAGGCGTATAACAAGCAGGCTTACGAAGAGGAGAGGAGAGCGAGATGGAGTTGAGTGGAAAGTTAAGTGCTAGGGCTGTCTTGATTAAGCGTGCAAGTAAGGACCTTGATACCTTAGGCTTCAACTCTTGACTCTTGGTCAATCATGTCTGCCTCTGAACATCCCTTTTATTACCCATCTACATTGTCCCAGACGAACTTCCTGGCCTTACTCCTCTGCGAAAATGCAAACATCACTACTCTTCTTCAGAAGCAGACACAATCACCTCTGCTAACTTCCTTCCCTTTCCTTTTCCACCCAGCTTGCCGCTCACCTCAGTAACGAAACCATCAAAAATAAACAGCCTTTGGTCTGCAGAGCAAAGGGAGAATGATAACCGGATGACGCCAGCTATTCCTTTGCAGTGACGTGAGCGAGGCGCTGATGTGGAGATTTTATTATCTGCGGATGGATACAATAAGAACACAGTCTGAGACGGAAAGAGAATGGGTGATGAAGTGACGGGCTTGTAGGATTCTCATTGTTGAAAGGTATCTTCATCCCTTCTTATGCTAATGATGAAGCATCTTACTCAAACGATGGTGAAGTTTTGAACGGTACCACCACGCGCGCTCAAAGACTTCAGGGGCTATCCTGTTCATCTCCAGTCTCTATTTTTCGATATGGGTCGATGACTGCAATTTAGTCTGGGATTACACCACTCCGCAGACCGTCAAAATGCGATCTCGATACGCGGCTCGGATCGTGTTAGATTTTGTCTAGTAAAACTTCAAATGCGTGATTGAGTTAGAGAGCCACATGGTGTAGATGATATATGAGAAATGTCAATCACTGATTGGTCTTTGGATGTTGAAAGTACAGCAATGCACAAGATTCTGGTCTATACTTCACTATGTTGGTCTCCAGGATGACAGAGCTCTCAAGTTGTACAGCGAATGTAGAATATCCTCAGCCGTGACGCCATACGCTTAGATATAAACGCATCGAAATAAATCAAATGACTCAGGTATCTCACACAGCTCGTAGCCAGCTCAATTCTTCTTCTTCCTTGGTAACCCCTGCTCCCTCCTCGTCTTGATGTCCCCCTCAGCAAGCCATTTGCTCGCCTTGACCAACTGCACCACATTCAAAATCTGCTTCGCCGCCATCACGGGGGACGAAATGGCCGCAAATACCCATGGCCAGGTGGAATCCATCTTGTTTGCTCTGGCCAGTTCCATAGCCCATGCGGTGCCCGGCGCTGCAAATAATTTGGAAGCTGGATGAGACGGACTGCCGGGCTGAGAGGAAGAGCCGGGAGATTTGCCGGTGGGGAGGAGAGAGGGAGAGAGGGTGGGCGAGGAGAAAGAGAGGAGGTAGAGGGCTATGAAGAAGAGTTCATTAAGCGCGCAAACTGTGAAAAGCACGTTCTGTTCGTCCGTGGAAATCAGCATGTTAATTGAGAGCAACAGCACCTTGTGCTAACGAGGTGAATATGTACCTTATTCGTATAGTAGAGGTGGAGCAGCTTCGACCGGTTCTCGTCGACCTTCTTGTGACTCATTCCCTTTCCCGCCATCGTTAGCGTAGCATACATATGCATGTAATGGCTAGCCAAATCTAGACTGATGAGCCCCTGGAACAATAGCGCCCATCTCGGCCATGCACTGCTCAAAAACACGAGCAAACACGCAGTTGTGCACCTATCCGTCACCATATCTAACACTGCGCCAAACTGGGTAGATTGCTCAAAGTAGCGTGCCGCGACGCCATCGAGAGCGTCCAAGAGGCAGGATATGCTGTAAAGGAGGGAACAGGTACGTGGATGGAGTGGCATGTAGTAGAGGGAGGCGAGGGCGAGAATAATACGCGAGTAGCCGATTATGTTAGGATAGAATAGGAAAATGTTTTCTGGTTGCTCTGCGATTAAGGAAGAGCGTTTGGAGTTGGCGGAACCGTTGGGTTGGCCGTTTGGGGTGCCAGCCTGCTTCTCCGCCGCTGCTGCTTGCTTGCGAGTTCGGATGTTGGGTGAGCCGTTCATCTTGGGTGTTACTCTGGTTCCGGAGCGCAGAGTAAGATATTGGTAGAGACTCTCAAGAGACAAGGACGTAGGTCACGAAGTGATGGACGTGTCCAGCGACTATCATGGACTGGTAATTGGGCAGTCTAACAGTCGGAGCAGCTCGGGCGCTGCGAGAACAGGCTCGGTGGTATTTGAACCCGAAGACTTGTAGTCACCCCTCCTGCGGCTGGTTTGATTCGAGATGAAAGGGACTTTGCGGAAGCCTAGATCTCTTCTCACGGAGGAGCAGATTGCGGCAGCTCTGCGATAAGACCTGCAGGCATCAAAGACTAGCGAAAACTAAGGGAGGGTTCATGCAGTCTCAGAGGAGTTGTCGACCTCGACACTGCAGTGCTTCCAAGTAGTATCAATGGAGAAAAGCAAGAGCTGGAGCTGAAGCCGTAGAACATCAACACCATTTTTATTAGCCGTCAAATGAAATTGAGCTCGAGGTCCGCTTACGCTTACGACGATTGCTTGGCGTCATAATCACAAATTCCTTAATATCCGCTCAAAGTCCGGCACTAGATTATCCGAGCTTTCCGCCAAGCCCCGCACGAGGATAAATAGAAAAGCGACCCCACCTCAATCAACACTTCCAACCATCTTTCTTCCAAATTTCCAATCGATCAGTCAATTGAGCCTTCAATATCAGAAAGAAGTTGAAGAACATTCCATCTAAACCGTGATATCCGACCCCCGCTCCTACTGCAGGTTCAGCTACTAACATTCCCCCAAAGGTAACTTGGTACTATCCCACCAAAATGGAGAGCGTGGCCCTCAATCGCCTGGTGGCTTCCTCAAATGATCAAGGTATCGTATGCTTCAAAGCATGAACCGGTGTTCGAGCTCATGTCTGTACCATTGGCATCCACCTTCTTCCATTGCGTGAGAAGAGATGTCAATGCTGCAGACCCAGAGTCGTTCTGAAATTAGACGGTCAAAACTTGATTTCTTCTGGATAATACCAGCGAAAGGATCATGCTTCTCCGCCCTGTCAATCAATGACAGAATGTCTAACGGCCCAGCAGAATTATTACAATGGCTCCCCCAATTGCAACCGAAACCCTATCTTCCCTAGGCTCCATGCCTACCAAAGCCATCAATGGCGATGGACACATGAAGCTCAGTGGAGCCAAAACCCTCGAGGACATGGTTGACAAATGGGAGACCTTCAAATTCGATCCCATCCGCGAGAGCCAGGTTTCCCGTGCCATGACTCGCCGCTACTTCCAGGACTTGGACACCTACGCCGAAAGCGACATTGTTATTGTGGGTGCAGGGTCCTGCGGTCTGAGCACTGCGTACATGCTCGGCAAAGCTCGTCCCGACCTCAAGATTGCTATCATCGAAGCTTCCGTTTCTCCTGGTCCGTGGCCATCTCTTTCTCACTTTCCAGTGTCCCGATCTTATCTGACAGTCTACAGGTGGTGGAGCTTGGCTAGGCGGTCAACTCTTTTCCGCAATGGTGATGCGTAAGCCTGCCGATGCTTTCTTGTCCGACCTCGGCGTTCCCTATGAAGAGGAAGGTAACTACGTTGTCGTCAAGCATGCCGCCCTCTTCACCTCCACTCTCCTGTCTAAGGTCCTTTCCTTCCCGAACATCAAGCTCTTCAACGCCACCGCGGTTGAAGATTTGATCACTCGCCCCTCCAACAATGGCGACGGAAGCGTCCGCATTGCCGGTGTGGTTACTAACTGGACGCTCGTGACTATGCACCACGACGATCAGTCCTGCATGGACCCCAACACCATCAACGCCCCCCTCGTCATCAGCACTACTGGTCACGATGGACCTTTCGGCGCCTTCTGCGTCAAGCGTCTCGTCAGTATGAACCAAATTGAGAAACTCGGAGGCATGCGTGGTTTGGACATGAACACGGCCGAGGATGCCATCGTCAAACGCACTCGCGAAGTGGTTCCGGGCCTCATCGTCGGAGGCATGGAGTTGAGCGAGGTTGATGGCGCCAACCGCATGGGTCCTACTTTCGGTGCCATGGCACTCAGTGGTGTCAAAGCTGCTGAGGAGGCATTGAAGGTCTTTGAGCAACGCAAGATAGAAAATGCCGAGTGAAGAACTTGCCTGCAATGAACAGTGGGGAGATGGTGCGGGATAGGTGGGAGAAGAATCCAGGGTCCTTTACTGTTAAGGCACCAGGTGCAAAGTCTCGCGAGGATTCTACACTGTCATTATCAAGATATATAGCTCAAGAATCCACCAATCTGAGATGCGCAGTTCATTTTCGAAGCCGCGTGAACTGTTGAGAGCTTAACCTATGAAGCCTAGCTCAAAATGAATGGTCTTCCAGATTCGATCATTGCGAGAATGAGACGTTGGAAAGGATGAAGTAAAGGATGCCATGATGCCTCCTCGCATGCCGGACCCAAAATACTCTGGCTGGTAATACTTTACTTTAATAAGCTCGTCATGGACCCAAATATAACCAAAAATCCAATTATGTCCAGCCTGGCGGTTAAACTATGCGGATCCCTGAACCTGGCCAATGCGTTGGCGCTTAACAGGCGAAAGTCAATCTCGACCTTTGACTGGCTTAAACCGTCTCTAGTGGGGCGGATGAGCCGATGGTACGGTAGGTGGGAATTTAAAAAGAAATATGACTCCCAACTGAAGGATTACGATTTACGAGACCCTGGGGAATACCTATTAATGAACAGAAGGAGAGGTCGTATATTATTGAGGAGTTCATCCGAGACACTCAGGGGGGTAGATAGTGTCAGAGATAGGCTTTTACTGCATGCTTTACTTTATGCACGTCAATGGGGTGGGCTTCTCTTCTCCGACTTCTGCGTCATTGCCGCGGGACAGGGGCCAAAAATGCGTGGGAATGAATGGTAGCATATTTTGAAGTATGGGTAACTTACCAATTTCCTAAGGTTGTTGTAGAAAAGCAATCAAATCAATCATACTTTAATCATCATCATGATTTCCATGTCCCTTCTCTGTGGAAGGGGTCACTGGTAGTAGCTAAGAATCCAGAAGCTGAGAGGAAGAAGCTTGCACGCGGCCGAGGAGCGACTACCGGTAGCTGCCATACTGTAGGCGAGATTCACATGCCGTCCCGCCTTTTTTCTTTTTTTCAATCTTGATCTGTGGGCCTGTGCCTGTGCCTGGAATGCATGCAACTAAAGTGTGCCCTACAAGGTCCTTCGGGTCTAGGAAGCATTGGCAGTGCTAATGCTGGGGGCCTCCTCCACACTACTTCGCTTACCTCTTCTTCGCTTCTTCTTTCACCATTTGCTCTTCAGCTGAACCACTTGACCAACCTGAGCCTGTCTCCTATCTTCCAACCTATCTTCTATCTTCCAACTGTCCCGTCCCCGCGGCCTCGAAGACTTAGGTACTTCCCCCTTCCCGACCAACCAACTCAGTCTCTCCAAAGAAAGCGGCTTGACCTGACCCTACTCAGAAACCCTCCTCTGGCAGCGTCTTCGACCTTGGTTTACTCAGAGCTACTCGGAGCACCTCTGAACAAGAAGAGAACCCGAAAACTCGTCATACCATTGTCCAAAATTCATCCGAGCTCCTACAAGACTACCTCAAGCCTGCCAGACCTTTCACGGAATTGCCTACCTTCTATATAAGAGTCCTCTTGCTGTCTTAAGACTTCTTCGTCCGCCCGACTCTACTCTCGAACCTATTGTCCGTATACAACACCTTCGAAAGCTACGATTTCAACTTCCAACCTCACCTCTACAATAACTGCACAGCTGCAGTTGGCTTCTTCTACAGCGACTCTGACACCCATTCCATGCTTTGCTATGAGTTTTGAACTACCGCAATACAGGTACGCCTCCACATTCTTATCCTGTGCTGCGTGATCTTGCCCTTTGGTTTAGCTCGTCTGGTTGCTCTTTGGGCCTAGCAGAGGAAAACCCGATTATTGGCCTGGTCACCAGAGCAGAGGCAGGGACGGATGGATACAGATTTGGTACAAGCGTGCAGCTTGGCTGAGCTTCTTTGCACTTGCAAATGCTGACATACTTATGGTCACTAGCTTTAGCCACGCGGGTGAACCTCCAACACCCACCAAAACGCCTACGTCTCCGAACTTCTTCCTGAATTCCTTCCAAACACCAAAACAGGGTACGAGATTCTATGGTCCTCAATCCCCTTGGAGTCCCGCCTTTCACTCGGTGGCGAGTCCTGATCTAAAGACACCGACCCAACTGAGCTTCACGACACCTACCAAAAGCCCTACAAAGATCTCGGAGTTCAAAATACCTTCCACAGGCCAAGACCTCGAGACAGAAATAGCCTCCCATGTACATCATTTGTCACCCAACCCCAGCCTGCCGTTGCCGCCGGTAGAGCCGTCTCGCCAACTATCATCCTCTCCCAACCCTTCTTCGACCTCAGAATCCAAGCGTCGTCGCTTAAACACGGATGAGTTTTCAATAACTCCCCTGAAGACTGGCTTCGACCATTCGGCTGGTACAGCTATGAACTCCGCTGGATCAATGCAGACTCCACCTCCAACGAGTACATCTGCTTCACGACGAAAAGCACAACAAGCTCAAGTAGCTCAACTGGTCAAAGAATCTGCAGAAAAGGGCAGAAGGATGTCATTTCCAAACTTTGGAAAGGGTGAAGGCGCTTATGGCTCAACTTCTCAGGTGGAGGAATCACCGCAACAGTTCCCTGCTCTACAATTCTCCCCAGATGGCTTTGGCTTTCCAATGTCTGGTCCAGCTACGGCGCCTGTATATCCACAGAATAAGCTGTTTTGGGACCCTGAGCAAGGCGACACAATGAACATTGACTTTCCAATGGACGACACCTTTACTGCTTTCGGGATGGGGCTACCAAAAAATTCGGATCCCTTCGTCTCACCATCGGATCATGCAAATGGAATGCAGTTCCCAACCTCGCCAGCCTTCAATCTTATCAATACTAGTCACGAAGATACCGCAACGTTCCCACGTTCATCGTATGCGGAACCGCCCAGTCACACGATCAC